TACTGCTCGCAACCAGGTGTCAACTCTTCAATATACAGGCAAACGAGAGGTATACCGCAAGGGTCTGTACTATTTCCCTTATTATTTAATGCACTACTATGTACCATTCCCATACAGCAAGATGTACAGGTCTATGTGTATGCCGATGATATTGCATTTTTTTGCTGCGTCGGTGGACATTCACACACTGTACCTGATTCTGCAGACTTACATAAATAGTCTGGAAACGTGGCTGGAGAATATCAACCTATGCCTCAATACAAACAGAAGTACAATCATAGTTTTCGCACAAAATGCCCCAGTGCGAATTTCACTAATGTACCGACAGGACGCCATACCTCAGGTCGAGTCAGGTGCTTGGAGGTAACCTACACCGAAACACTTAACTGGAGTCCCCACATAGAAAACATGGCTGCTAAAGGAGCACGTGCCGTAGGGATGCTGTGCAAGCTCAGTAATTATCGTGCCGGTTTGCGTAGAGACGTGCTCGTTATGATATATTGCATGTACATTCGACCGATATTAGAATTCGGCTGTGTTTTGTTCTCTGGCGCTCCGGCCTACAAAGCTCGACCACTGATTCTGCTAGAACGCGAATCTTTACGCTTATGCCTAGGGCTACGCAAATATGTTGCCAAAAATATCCTATACGAAGAATCCCGCTTGCCTTCTCATATAAAAAGATTTCATATTCTAAGAGTACGTACATTCCTTAAAATCTATGCATCACCTCAGCGGAGGGCACAGTATATGTTCATTAACCAGCAGACCTCATTTTTCAACCAACAATGACCTAAATTAAGGTGTCCTCAAGTAATACTTACTCAGAAACTTTTGGAGCCCTTAAGAATTGCCCTTGGGAAACACTTGTGCTCAACACTGTAGATGCAATTAGGATAGAATTTGACAGTATATATCCCAAGAATGCAAACAATTTACCATATCAGTATATAAATGGCATTTTGGAAGATCATTTGGCCAATCTATAGAAACATTCATTGTGATAGCGGCTGACGCTTCGGTTTATGAAGAGAAGGCTGGCATAGGAATCGTATCATCCTCTCTACATTGGGCTTTCTCAATTCGATTACCTGACTTTACACCTATTTACCAAGCTGAACTACTGGCAATAGTCCTTGCATTGCGTAAAGTGTCGCAAGATCTATCAGCGGTGATTGTTCTAACAGACTATCTCTCGTTCTGTACTGCCTTAAGCTCTCCAACTTTTTCGCGTACCTTAGAAACTTTCTACTCGCTCATTCCTACACATGTGCGACTCGTCCGACTAGTTTGGGTACCAGGCCATAGAGGTTTAGCTCTGAATGAGCATGCAGATGCACTAGCTGTATCTTTTCTTAATTGCCCTGTTTTAACTATTTTGCCTACTTCGGAAAATATCACAGCAGCACGCTTTGAAAAACGCACAACGGCTAATAACATTGAAAAATCACCTTCGTTTGCATCAGACTTCCCAAAGCTAAAGTTCTCTTGGAAGAACAAGTGGTGTTCATTAAGAAAGGAAGAAATAGTGGTTACCAGGCAGCGTTGTCGAGTCCCCTCATTGAACATTTACCTTCACAGGTTGGGTCTGGCACACTCGCCTTGTGCCTTTATTATAATGTGAAGGAATCTTTGGAGCACTTCTTTTTGTCATGCCAAAAATTCAAAACTCAAAGGGAAAATATACTAGAAGAACCCCTACGAAAGTTGGGCTTGAATTTGACAATTCCGGTGATTCCTCCGTTTGGCGCTGTCGCATTTGGATTCAGCCACAGGAGCGTTTTTACCGCTGTTACGAACTTTTTACGAGAATCTAAAAAAATGGAATGCTAAAAATAAATTACTTCTGTTGTTTTATGGATAATTTTTTCCTTTTTTGTATGTTTATGTTTTCTTTGCAAGGTTTTTTAGAGGATTAACACCTTTTCAATATTACCTATATTACCTAATTATTCCAACCCTCTCTTTCAACAAGTGAATTAATTTTAAAAGCAAGGCACCGTCCTATTCATGGCCTATCCCCCTAGGTGGGTTGCGCCAAGGTATTGAGGAACCAACCAACCAACCAACCATGAGATGAAGACAAGAAGAAGAAGAAGAACATTCACGAACGTGTATATTGTGAACGACAAAGCAGAGTCCTTTCAACCTCATCAGCTGCATGTCCCGGCCACATAAGGATGAAGGTGGTGCAAGCTCACGTTCAAGCGGACTTTCGGCTCCGGTCAGCAGCCCGCAGGCTGAGACAACGATCCTTTTTGACGTCAATCCAGTGGTGAGCTTACCGCAGTATCGATAGTGCATTATTAATATGATAGGTTAACGTGCGGGTGAATATTGTAATTCTTAACGTTGCGGGATCACCACCATAGGTTTCCTGCTTGTTTAAATAAATGAAAAGCCTGCTCCAAAGAATTAATCAAGGTAATAGAGCTTTCAGCAAATCTCTTCATCAGGTATATCAGCAATATTTTTGTTTATCCTATAACTATCACATCACCCAGCGTACCTTCTTATAAACTACATATCACGAAACTTCCAAGCCCATCACTCTTTTGTACTGCGCGAAGAGAAGCATGACATTATGTCTCTTAAGAGTACCCGTTAGGACACAATATCTAATGAACCAATAGTCGCAATTCAGATCAGTATTTTCTAGGCTATAAGCTCAGAGAAAGTGAACAGATTATCAATTACGGAAAATATCCTAGGCGAGAAACTGTGTATAAAAAGTACATAACAAATTAAAGTACTCGATACTGTATTATATATGAGGTCAGTAATTCAGGTCACTATTTTCTAGGCTATATGTAGGCTCAGAGAGAGTGAACAGATTATCAATTACGGAACATATCCAAGGCGAAAAAATGTGTTTAGAAAAAGTACATAACGATTTAGAGTACTCAAGACTGTACTATATATGAGAGAACTAAAAGCCGTCCCTTGGGTCTCACACTTGATGAAGCCGTATTGACGAAAAATTCAGGGATTACCGAATGTGCTTATTACCCCCCCCCCCAACTGTGTGTTTAGAAAAAAATTGGCTGCATATCCACGGAGTGAATGATGGAGAGTGGGGCGAAGCATTTGTCCGTCCATTCGTTCTTGCTTCCGTCCGTCCATGCGACCATCTGTGTGACCGTCCATGCGTTCATCCGCTCGTCCGTGCGTGCGTCTGTTCGTGCGTCCGTCCCTGCGTGCGTCCATGCAACCGCCCCTGCGTCCGCTCATGCGTCCATCCATACATGTGTCTGTGTGTCTGTTCATCCATCTTCTCAACACTTCAAGTACCACCATCTCGCATCTTTTCATGATATATTCCCCATATAGAAGCACCGCCGTCCAGCAGACATTCCAAGTACTAAACGAGAGGTGGCACACGCATACTTTCTTACGGCTTGCGCTTCGGGTCTTTTTCTTACCTTTAATTACTTCGAGTTCATGGTATATACTAGTTCACTGTGTTCATGTCAATGCGACCCAACGCTCGCTAAACCTTTCTAAAACCAAGGAGGTTACGCACAGCGAGTATACCGTAGCAACTTTTTCCTGTCAGATAGTGCTCAATGTACATGCCAATGGCTGCTAATAGGAAATTACAGACAGGAGAAATCCGCTTTTACTTGTTTACGGCTTGCGCTTCGTATCTACTTCCCACCTTTAACCATATCGAGTTCATGGTATATACTAGTTCATTGTATTCATGGCACTGCGGCGCAATGCTCGCTAAACCTTTCTAAAACTGAGGAGGTTATACCCAGCGAGAATGACGTAGCAACCCTTTCTTGTCAGATATATTGCTCAATGTACATGCTAATGGCTGCTAATGTGAATCGCAGCGTGCGTGTTAACTAAAAGCCGAATGCTCCTGTCTCTCACTCCCCATTAGCAGGCAATGTCATGTACATTGAGCAGTATTTTTTATTGTTCAACAACGCGCAGAAGAAATCTCTCACTGGCACAACCTTGAAGGTCAAATCCTTATACTTGTTACACGCTACAACGGCTACGAGGGACGAATGGGTGTCGCTGTAAAGAGCTTCGCCCCTAAAAAAATAAAAACTACTGCTCGCGCTGCACACCCGTTGGCTGGATCACGTGTTAAGAATTTAGTCAAAGGTGCCTAATCCGCGCGGGTGCCGCTTACGGCCGCTGGCGTTCCAAAATGCCAAGCAACTGCTGATCTAGCGGCAGTGAAAGGTGAGAACTAGACACAAATACCAGGCGTAAGACAGTGCACGGGTGCCGCTCCTCTAGTGCGGCCGTGCCACCTCTCATTCTATCCTTGGAAGGTCCTCTGATTGACAGTACTCCAATGTGATGAATATATGACGAAAAGGTCCGAAGTGGTGGTACTGATCGAGAGACAAACAGATGCACGGACGGACGGAAACATAGACGGACAAATGGACGACTGCATGGATGAACGCATAGACGAACGCAGGGATGCACTCACGAATGAACACGCGGATGGACGCATGAATGGACGCACGGATGGACGCATGAGTACACGCACGAATGGACGAATGCATGGACGTACGCACTGAAGGAAGGATGCACGGACGGATGGATTCACGGGCAGATGAACGGACGAGCGGACAGACGGACGGACGCATGAACGGATGCACGGACGGTCGCAAGGGCGGTCACACAGACGGACACACGGGTGGAAAGAAGCAAGCATGAATGGATGAACGGAAGCATGTATGGACTGACGGATGCTTCATCGCCCCACTCATTATCCTGCACTCCATGGATATGCTGTGTTTCTTTTTCAACAGCTCTTAACAACTAGTATACCCAATATCCCTTATTTCGAAGAAATGAATGTATTGTATTGTATTGTATTGTATCGTACTTCATCAATCGAGAGAAGCTCGAAAAGAGAACGTCGCTTAAAATTCCTCAATTTATGAGTTCCTAAGATTGGCTATTATAATGGCTGCCTACAGAACGCTGACGTGAGTGACTGATTGAAATCCGGTTTCTTATCTTTGAAGGTGCGATGCCCGCTGCTGCTTCTCAATCTTCTCCTGTGGTTCGTGGGGGCGTTCTTCATGTTGGCCGGGGCGCTTTTTCTGGTGGAATCGTGGGAGTTTGAGGAAGACGAGCGCATCTTGCAAAACCTGGACTTTCCCGGCACGCTACTGTCGCACCTGGAGGTGCTGCTCTTTTCATTCGGGCTCGCCCTGTTCACGGTCAGCTCATGCGGATGCGTTGGGGCACTGCGCGAGAACACCTTCCTGCTCAATATGTACCCCCACCCACTCACTCTCCTGATTCTCATCAAGTTCGTGCTGGGTGTTCTGGTATTTTTGTTGCTGGTAAGAAAATGTAGCTGTCTGAGCCTTATCGGTGACCCAGTGACAACAGAAAAATCGGGGAATCATTTCGTGTGTTCTTCTCCACATAGTTTCCCCTTTCGGCTTTTTTGTATGAAATATAAAGGACAAATTTCATCTATTCAAAAACGGAAATGCGTTAACCATTCAATATACTTCAATTGCATCAATATTGCGTGAACGATATCATAACATGAGATGACGTTTTTAATTTCAACTAATACCAGTCAGGTGTTAGAATTATTAAAAAATAAGCTACATGCAAATTCACTTTCCTACAAAAGATAAGCCGGATCATCCCTGTGCAGGGAAACAAAACTGGTACAAGGTGTAGCACAAGAACTACGGGATCGGTGTGCCCGGCTTTGAGCACTAACCTGGTTTGTAAACTTCCGTCGCAAATGCTTTTATGGGTCAACGATCGCATGTTCCTGAGTTATTACTTGAAGACATTTGTCCACAGCTACGATGACAACTCCGAATGTTCCTATTCATACTATGTACCAATTTTTTTAACAATTAGCATTTTGTTATATTACACATTCCATCTAAAAAATGCGCTGTGACCATAGGGGCTGCTGCTGTGATAGGATGCTCCGCAAATTTGACCATCTGGTGTTTTTTAATGCGCGCGGATATCGCAGAGTGCACATACCTCTAACATTTCGCCTGCCTGTAAATGCGAAGGCTGCGGTTAGAATTAAGTGATTCGGCCTCCATGCCAGCAGCGGAGCACCGTAACCGTTACGCCAATGCATTGTACTCCCTTATTTACTGTAAACGATACGCCTTGAACGAAGAAATACCAAGTCATTGTATTCAAGTTTCTCTTTAGTTATATAACAAACCTAATTTTAAACGTCCTGCCAGTATGCTAAGCAATTACTGGTTTTAAGTGCGAAGCATTTCTTAGCGAACTTCGGCGACATTGAGCGTATAGATATATCTATCTATCTATAGATAGATCTATCTATCTATCTATCTATCTATCTATCTATCTATCTATCTCTCTATCTATCTCTCTCTCTATCTATCTATCTATCTATCTATTTATCTATCTATCTATTTATCTATCTATCAATCTATCTATAGCTCTCCTGGCCGTTTCGATAATGGTGTCGATACCAAACTTGCTATGATGTAACAGGACTGTATGAAGAACACATCTGACTAGCCATAACATCAAGATCTAGACGTATATGTCATTAATGTCATGATTCACAAATCTCGGCCCTGAAGCTCTTGCGGTGGTTTCGTTTACATGGCATGTTGCAAAACTTGTATGGTATGGGTAATTGCATGGCGAACAAAAGCAGCAGACCTTAACTTGAAAATCATAGTATGCGTGTCATGTAACAACATGACTTCATGCCACGCTTATGATGCGCTCGCGGCCGTTTCGCTAGCGTCACATATATCAAATTTGGCATTACGAGACATGAATCGATGACGAAGGTGGTATACTGGTGCAAACATGATAAACATTAAATGCCTGTCATATAACAACGTGACTACGTGCTACGCTCATGATGCACTTGCGGCAGTTTCGCTAGCTTCACATGTACCAAACACAGCATTTCGCGGCGCAAGCGGACGACATAGGCAAATGACACATTCAAACTTGATAATCATGAGATGCCTGTCATGTGAATACATGACTACATGCCAAATTCAAGGTGCCAGTATATTTGAGGTGAAGCGGTGCGCGTTGTCGCAGGCGTTCATTTTATCGCGTCCCGCCAAGTTGCTACGCCACGCGCCAGTCCTGCCATATACTCGCAGGCGCGCGTCGCGCTGCTTTGCTTTGACGCATGCGCGTTTCAGCGCGTCCGGCGTCCCTCCATCACAAAAAAAAGTAGACGCAATGTTGTCTGGGTAACGCATCGGCGCGAAATGCAGTTTGTCACATTTCTCGCCGGTTGCCGTCAAGCCGCGCCGATGGACACTAGTCGCTCCGGTCGCGCCTGGCGTCACACTGAAAAGTGCTCGCGTTTTGCTAACGTCACGTCACTGTGCCAAGCATGTGCGCACGTCAACGCTACATTTGAGTATATTGAGCCTTCATGATGTTCTCGCGGCCGTTTTACTCGCTCCACATATACCAAAATTGGTGTAACTTGACGTCAATGGATGACGAAATATATGAATAGTGCAAACGTGATAATCCTGACACACGTGTCATCTAAGAACATGACAACTTACCACGCTCATAGCGTTCTCACGGCTGTTTCGCTAGCTCCACACATACTAATTTTGGTATCGCGTGACTCAAATAGGACGATGATAAATGACACATCCAAACTTGATAATCATAACACGGAAGTCATCTACGGCGTCATTCACCTTCACCTCGTAACGTTGTGCTGATTTTAAAATGACACATGAACATTTCTCATTCGTGCTTAGAATATCATCGCTTTGAACTGTACGTGGGATCTGCCAATTTTTTGGCGCAGAATTATTCTTGAATATGACATAACGTTTACCTAAAGAGCACCCTAACCACTCATATGCCAACATTTATTTGTGGTGTTCCAGCTGCGTACCAAACTTCGCCGCACACGTACCAGACGGAGTTTTTCGAAACGGTGCCGTATTAGCGACGTTACACGCGTATGATCTTCAAAAAAGGGACTTTGCTCGTTTTGCTATTTTCTATTGCTATGCTCCTTTCATGGGCCAGTCTCTTGCCGGCCGAATGGTTCTCCTCCCCATGCGAGGAGGAAGAGTTGCGAACTCACGTACCTTGAAACAGATAAAATAAATTCTATTTTAGGGACGAAGTTCCTTTGCGATTGGGTGAGTATCACTTCCGTCGTAGAAGCCACCCCTGCATCTCCCGATCGCGAAGCAGACTCGTGGGCGCTTTGAAAAAGCTTGCACTTGGATTCTTTGGCTGGTGTTTCGTCGGTGTTACCTGCGTGCCGTTTGCATTCTCAAACGTGATCCGATGCATGAACGCATGCACGGATGGAAAGGCAAAAGGATTGATGAACGCCTACGCGGACGGTCAGATGGACAGACAGACAAACAAACAGACAAACAGACAGACAGACAGACCGACAGACAGACAGACAGACGGATGGAGAGACAGACATCAATGCATTCGTCCATGTGTCCGTTCGTGTGTGGGTCCGTTCATTCGTGCAACACTCTTTCCATGCGTCCGTCTGCCGTCTAACATTGCGTCCGTTCATGCGTCTGTCTGTCCGTGCGTGCATCCATTCGTCCGTTTGTGTGACCACCCGTCAGTCTATGTGTGCCTCGTTCCATCCGTGTGTTCGTCCGCCCATTCGTATGTCCCACTCATCATCAGTCACTGTGTGGATATGCTGTGATTTTTTTTTGTTAGTGGCATTACCAGATGAAAAAGTTGACCGCAAGCCAAACCTAATGAATCACTGAAACATTTCGAGAGGAGAACTGATTCATATATTTTTTTTTTATTTTGAGTGCACCGCACCCGCGGCTCGTAGAGCTTCCGCGGCTGGAATGGTTAATCACGACGACATTTAGAACTTGAAACGTGCAGATATGTCAAATGTGAAGATCATCGTAGCAGACTTCTATTTCAGAGTAATAAACAGTTAGTGCAAGAGTGTATCTTCGGGTCATTGTATCTTAGGGCCAGCCCATATCTTAGGGCCAGTCCGTTGCAATCTATATTGCATTATATGTTTTGTTTATTGGTGTACATGCTGTATCACATGATTTGTTTTCTTAAATATGGCTGCCTCACAATCCATCACACACTCAGTTAAACTCTTGAGGACATTGTGTTCCTGCAGCTTTTACACGAACCATTTTTTCATGGGCTGAGCACTCAAACGCTAATTTAGTTTGAATCAGTACGTCATTAGTGCTTCATCACAACTTTTTGAAGTGCCGTGCAAAAATGCATGTTG